AAACAGCCTCTTAACTGGTCTTTTCTGCTTCTTTCCTATTAAAACATAGTTACGTCATATCACTTCTCTGCTCAAAACCCACCAATGGCTTTCCATTTCACATAAAGAAGAAACAAAGTCCTTACAATGACCTACAAAATCCTATTTTTTCCCAAATCTCACTCCCCTGTAAATTTTCTCAACCTCATCTCCAACTCTCTTGCCCTCATCCCCTCCTCAGACATGTCAGACACAATCTCACTTCAAGGATGTTGGACTTGTTATTTGCTATACATGGAATGGTCTTTACCCAGATGGCTAGCTCCTTTCCTTTCTTCAGCTCTTTACTCAAGTATCACCTTCTCAGAGAGGCTATTCCTGGCCTTCCCTGCTTTATTTTTCCTCCTTTGCACTCAGTACTAAATAATATCCCATGTATGTTACCAGTTTATCATATTTATTATGTCTCCTTCAACAGAATATAAGCTGTAGATTGTTGTCTTCATTCACTGCTATATCCCTAGCTCCTAGAACAGTGCCTGGCACATAGTGTTGTGGAATGAAGAAATGATTGAACGGATGATGCGGTGTTCATTTTTTGATGGATAAGTACATGGATTCTTTAGTTAACAAGTCAAGATTTTGTGTGCAAATATGGCTTGTAAAATAAATCATGAACATATTAAATACTGATCTTGCTTATACCGTAAACTGTCTCAAAAACATTTTTTAAATAATTTACAAAGTACAGATTTTATCTCAGTTGTTATACAAATCAGCACATATTCTTAGTGACATAATTGGGAGCTTTTAATGTTAACTAATGAGCCTCATTCTTTTAAGCAGAGTGGTATCTTGGGAGGTTTGCTTATAAAAAAGCTGAATACCTGAACTGCTTTGTCAAACACTCACTGCATGCAAGGTGCAGTGCTAAACTAGTTTCTCACTCAGAGTGAGATCCAGGCTTTTGTCATACCGCGACAAAGGTATTGTAACATTCTTCTACGTGGTCTCCTGCTCACCGTCTCTTCTTCTCTTTATGTGCATTTCACTTGCTTCCAGATCAATATTACTAATGCAGACCTCTAGTTACGTCAATATGTTGCTCAGAAATCTTCATGGCTCCCCTTTTTCTACTAAAATAAAATCCGATCTCATAGTCTAATTGCAACCCGCTTTTCCTGTATTGTTTTCTAATATTTTTCTACCCTGCTCTCCCATCAGACTGTTGTGCTGACCACTCTCTCTTACATTTCCCTCCTTCTTACCTGTCTTCATACATGCCTGACTCCGGAAGATTTGTTTAGAGCTCATAGCCAGGCTGGAGCTGTTATTGTTCCCTCTGATCCAGGCTCTAAATATTTATTAAAGTAACTTAAGATTACTTTTCTCCTTTTGCATACCCTTGTTGCTCTATGGGCTTACATTGAGTTTATATTAAACTAAACACTACAGGTCTTATTTATATGACCTTTTGTCAAGCTGAGTTTCACACGTGCTTAGTAAGGCTTGTGGACTAAACACAACCCTGTGCATTTGGTTCTCTTAATCACTGCCTTTCTTTTCGAAGACTAAATATCTCCCGAGTATACCATCTCCTCTCCACTTCTGCTACTACCTTAGCCCTGGCAACTCTAAGCCACTTATGAAACGGAGAGAGAAAGAAGGACTTTTATTCCTCACACGTGGAATCATGTTCAGCCCCCTCCTCCTTCCAAACTATATCCTATAGAGCTAGCAAGGAAAAAAATTCATTCTAAAATCAAATGTAATGATCATGTCCCTCCCCAGACAAAATCCCCTCAATGACTCCCCATTATCTTCATTGCGGCCTCGGTTCTGATGCAATTCGTTTCCCCTCCTCTCCAGCCTATTTTTCATTTCTCATCATCACACAGCTTGCACTCTCTGTCTCTGGCCTTTGTACACATATCTTTCTGGGTTGGCAGCCTCATTTCCCAGCTTCTCTTCCCAGCTTACTGTAATTCCTTTTTCAAGACTCAACTCTGGCACCTCCTCCTCTAAGGAGCCCTCCTTGGTACCCCTATAGGAGAATATGCAGGTTTCCTTGCCCCTCTGTTCCAGTGACACCAGGTTTACCTCTGTCATGATACTCATTATTATGGTTTGATTTGCCTTCCCACTTTCTTTCTTCACCAAACTTAGGCTTTGAGCTCCTCAAGAACAATGAGCTTGTCTTTCATCTTTGCAACCCCAGTGCTAAGAACAGTGCCTGGTATTTGTATCAGTTTATACTGCCAATAAAATTATTCCTGAGTTTTTTGTGTGTTTATTAAAGAAGAGTCCTGGGCAAGATAAAAAGGAATGTAATAGAATTCAATTTAAGCAAAAGCAGGATTTCATTCTTCTAATCTTGTAACTAAGGTAAAGAGCACTTAAACTGTGCTATGCATTGTCATCCCATTAGTAAAGGTATCTATAAGTAAAAGCTATCATTGACATTATTCTAACTTATTCTGATCATACGACTAAAAATAAAACAGGCACAAATAATCTGTCATAAATGGTGATTCCCCGGGACCCAATTTTTTGGTGTCAATTGCACAGTGAAACAAGTACTGGGTTTTCTCTGCTAAGACAATTGGAAACATTCAGATCCTCATTTGCTTTCTTTGACAAAGGACTGCCTCAAAGACAACTGAGCACTGTCCTTCTGTCACTTAAATGTCATTTAAAACCAATAATCAGGAATAGGTTT